GAGAGAGAGAGAGAGAGAGAGAAGTTGATATCAGTAATCATAAATAATAGAAAATGCATCTAACCGTTGATAGCAATTCCAAAATCTAACAATCTGCCAAGACTTGTACTAAATTTGGCACCAATATTAGCAATGTCAACATGCAACAACTTTAATGGCATCTCCATTAGAGCATTGTGCACTTCATAATTGATGCATATATATTATCATCATGTGTACTTTTAATAGCTTTAGTTTCGTTTTTACTTCAGTTGTCAAGCATGTCATCTTTGCTAATATATAAAAGTAGAACACTAATTTTGTGTATATTTTTCATTTCCCTAAACTATCCAAAGAAAATTAAATTATGCATTATTAAAATCCTTTTGCTTCTATATTCATTTGAGGGTAAATGTTCAAGTAAACACATTATTCTAAAGAACTCCCCACAACTGCCTAGAACTCCCAGTTAGTTTTAAAAATTCTCTTTCCTAATTAAGAGGCTACTTAGTACACCTCTTTCTCTCTCTCTATGCACTATTGTTCAAAAATTGGCTAACTTAGTGGTTCTTTGTGGCACTTGCACTCATGTAATGAGTGCCACCCCACTAGTTTCTGTAATATTTCTATGCATTTGATGGGGGTCAAATCCTTTTGATGTTATAGGAGTGGCAGCATATCAAGAGGTTTTAGAGGAGAGTTCAGGCATTGGCAAATTATGCTGATGTAGTAAGAGACAAGCAGTTGCAAAAGTAAGAGAGGGAGTGGGGGTGGTTTGAGACAAGCTGTCAATTTGTCATGATAAGATTCCTTCGTAATTGAACAAAACAATGAACACATCGCACAATGGCACAAGGAGATCAATCACCAAAAATAATATAAAATCATATTTAATGATTAATAAAATTCTCTGTAATTGATCAAACAAATAAACAAATAAACTGTGATAGTCATGTCCATTTGATTTCAATTGAAGTATACTATACAAATACTACTAAAAAGTCAAAAACTTATACGTACCAGCTGAAACTGAGCCATGTGATTTATTACCGCTACATGATGTGGTAGGAAGACTAACTGATCTCTGAACTGCCCATTTTATCATGAAATCTGTGTTATTTCTCATGGTATAAGTTTCCTTGAACTTACAATACATACATCTATACTATTTATATTATTATATAATATAATGTGAACACATATTTTAAGGTCCGTCACGCTACCTCTTTGTCCAGAAAAACCATGCCATATGTCTCTGCTTTTCATCATAAAAGGGATAAACATGTAAATATCAAGTCTCATGGTATATTGTCCTGATGAAGACAAAAAAACATATTAGCTCCACATTGTGAAATGGACAAAATATGCAGTGGTCCTATTTGAATCAAAACACTAACCCGTAATTGGGGAAGATGGGTATAGAATCCAATACCACCACACAGGCATAAGTAATGATTATTGATCCCCAAACTGAAGAATGAGTAAGTAGCAACCACCGCTTAATGTCCATTGCCAAGTGCATATTAACTAGGATAACAACTGCAATCGTCCACAAACTTCCCATGCCCCATATGTCAATAGTGCTCTCCCTATAGGTGAATAAAAGTACATAGAAGAGAACAAGGCTCTGCCATAGTGTGTCAATCATTGTGAAGATGGTGCACAACATAGTCACTCATCATAGACTAACTGAATCCAGTGTTGAGAAAAGAAATCTTGCAGAAAAAGTCAATAAGCAAATGAAAAGCAGATAAAAACATTCTTGTTGCTTACTCTAAAGGAGAAGCAATGGAAGGAACATCAGTATCAAGCTCAGAATGCAATTGCATCATTAGGTCCATAAAAGCTGTCTGAAAGCTCCATGCAGAGCAACAGAAGTCCATAAACCACATAAAAAATAAGCTTCCATGAAATTAAGAGGCTGCAACTTTTTTTTATCAAACTTCGCGTAAACAACACGCACCTCCTCCAATGAAGCATTACCAGCTCTTTCACCAATGCCATTGATTGTTACTTCCACTTGTCTTGAGCCTGCACATGCCCCCTAAATTTAGATGAACTAACACATGAGTGCACCTTGGTTTATGTGGCCCTTAAATGTATACAAGAAGACCAATATAATTACATACCGCTAATGTGTTGGCAGTAGACAGCCCAAGATCATTGTGGCAGTGCGTCGAAATAATCACATTTTCAATTCCAGGAGTGTTGGCTTTTATGTCGGCAATCAATTGTCCAAATTCATCAGGCACAGTATACCCAACAGTATCAGGGACATTGACAGTTGTAGCCCCTGCATTAATAACTTCACCCAATATCTGATAAAGAAACTTCCTATCAGATCTGTCAAGAACCAAAAGGGAATGATATGTTAACAAGAAGATATTGCCAACAAAGACCAGTATCCTAGCAAGTTGTTTCTAAATTCAATAGGAATGAAATTCAAATAATAATCAATGACAGATACCAAGTTTAACATAGTAAGATCATTAAAAGCTTTTCCAGCTGCCCTAATTCAAAACTACTTCATGAAAAACCAGCAATAAAAAAAATAAAAACATTAGATGTAATATATGTCTTTCCTTAGATGGACAATAATATGGAAGTTTGACAAAATTCAACTAACTTTGCAACTTAAGACTTCAATATTCTTTTCCTCCCCTCTTTTCTTATCTTGGTTATGAAAAAGTTCTACACCCGAGATTATGAAACCACCTTAAAGCTCAAATGAACCAGAACTGAAATCTTTAACTGCAACTTCAGTCATTTTGCTTCTTACTGTCAAATCATTCTCAAGCGACAAAACAAATCTAAAAAAAGAAGAAAGTAGGTATAGACAATGAAAAGGACATGCCAAATATTGTAATTAAAACACATTATTCTAAAGAACGCAAACAAGCATGCATATTCAAGAGAGGAGGCAGAGATGATCAGGTTAAAGCTTGCACCTTGAAACAGGTGGGCGGTAGACATGAAGGAGGGTATCAATCTCCCAAATCCCGGTTGACCCAAAATCTGCACCTTTTTCCATGACTAAAATAAGAAATAATTCTAAGTATTAAAAACTGATGGGGTTTCCAATCCCATTTCAGAAACAAAAACAAGAGAAGTAAAAGGTAAAAATAATAAACAGACATCTCATACCTCTGCACAACCAAATAAAATTATTTCTAGTTATTCTTTGCAAAATACACACATCAAGATTCATCGCTAATGTTCATAACTATGTTCCAAAGACAAACATCCAAAACTAGAACTCAAGTCTCCATGGCTTTAACCATTGTGGTTACCACAAAATGCAGAAAACAGTCACCCTATCATCTATCTCTAATCAATTATGAGGGCAACTGAAAAGTACAAGGTCTGGGCAGATTTGATTATGTGATTGTAGATTAACAACTATCATAAACTTTTGTGCTCTCTTGCAAATATTAGCAAAAGTTTCATAAGAAATGGGAATGAAAAGACAAAGCTCTCAACTTTTGGCATTATGTACTGAATTCTTGATAGAAGGACTACTTGAAACTCCAAATAACCATAAACACAGTGAAAAATAATATGACAATAATAAGATTCAAAGAATTAATAAATTTATGAGATATTTAATATGAATTGTTATAGTTTATATAACCTTCTTTAGCCTTAATAGCTTGTTCCATGGACTGAACAACATCCTCAAGCAATGGCACTCCCATCTGGTAGTTTAATGCATTACCATAACCCTTTAATATGAACAGCTCCAAATCATCTGTCCACTCCAGCAAGACAACCTAAAAATGTTTATATTTGGCAAGTTAGCAAGTGTATAATGAGCAAGAAACAAAGCATGAACTGATAACATACATAATTTGCACTTATTAGTGGATAACATCTATAGGAACACAATGGATCCCATGATATGTACGTACCAAAGCTACATACCTCAGATGGAGTGAACAGAGCACACACTTGATCAGTTATATTCAATAAGGATGCTTCCTGCCAAATTGAAAATTTGAATGAACAATTACAAAGGAATTGCAATCAGATAGACTGTGAGAAAGAAAATGAAAGAGAAGAAAGGAAAGGAAAGAAACAATCACCTGTTTGCACAAAAACCAGAGAGAAGATATATCTTGTCTTGTAAAATTCAGATTATAACGCCCCCACTAATGCATGGATAATTTCATCCAATGCAGGTTCCTTAAGCTTAAGAACACTAGGCTCCTGACTTGTTCTATAGGCCTGCATTCAGAGATATACACAATAAAACCAAAGAAGTATCATGTGTTGTAAAATTCAGCTCATAATGCCTCACTAATGCATAAAATTTCATCCAAGATAGGTTCCTTAAGCTTATTATCCAGTAGTATAAAGTTTAATTTCAATTTCCTAGTTGATCAGAATTGAGCGGGAACAAGCTGGCAATGCTTTACAATCAATTGAATAACATACGGAACACAATGCTTTTTTAGATATCGAGATAACAAATTGGTTTGTATTTCTCAATTGGTTTGTATTTCTCAACTTTTATTGTTTTTATTCCCAAAAACACGAAGAAAAAAAAATGAAAATATTCCGAAAACAAGTCAATGCAATCAACTGGTTGAACTTTTTTTTTCTCAATTGGTTTGTATGGGATTCTATTGGTGTTTGTGAATAATATAGATTCTCATCAGCCCCAACCAATTGCGGCTTTTCTTTGAGCACCAACAAGGCAATAATCCAATCTTAAAGATGATATAGAAAGAAGAAAGCAAATGAAATTAAAAACTCACAGTGCATCCACTGCCTATCAAAGCCTTGACAAAAACATCATTTGACAGTACATCCAATTTCTTCTGTTCTTCACCCTGAAAAATGAAACAGATGTGATCTATCGTAGTCATAGATAGATAAAATTGCAATGAAAACACAGAAATGCAAGAAAATGTAAAATTAGCATATTACTGAACAACTTTTGAAAAAAGAAAAACAAAAAACCCACCTGAGTATTTTTCTGTCCTGCAAGTCCAATGAGTTTTGCAAGACCTGCCTGCAAAATTGGTGATTATTGGAAGGCCAAGAAAAAACCCACCTTTAACATTAATTGGTTTTAGGTGAGGTGGTGGAACTCAATCCAACAGGTGTTATCAAAGCAACGTTGTCATGGGTTTAAGTTGCAGAGCATCATTGTGAGGGACCAATTGTTGGGTACACAATGTTGCTCCTACAATCCCTCGTGTCATGGAGTTGCCACAAGACAAATCACAATGGAGTACGATATAATCTCAATAGACCTCTTGGAACTTCAAACAGCTAAATGTGCTAAAGACAATAATATAAGACTAATTTGAAATTCTTGAAAACCTCTAATGATTATCAACATGCACAAACTACTACATAAGGATAAAAAGGTTGGCCCCAAACCCGTCCGACATTATAAGCACTCAACGATTGAAGTAGAAGGCTGAGAGAAGGCCGATTGCCAGAGAAGGTCTGTGAAAGATAATGCAATTGTTAGGAACAAACGTTCAACTGTAAACAGTAGAGAACATAATAGACAGAAAGAAAAATCACCTTGTGAGGGATAAGATGCTGGGAGACGTTCTCACTTTGCAACTGTTGTGGGGTCTATAAATATGCGAAATTTAATATAGTTGGCAAAAGAAAGGAATTAAATGAAAAAGAGGAGAGGGAGAGGGAGAGGGACCTTGGTAACAGCATTGCAGACAAATTTGCAGCCAAGAACAATGTGACTGAGCAAGATTGTGAAGTCGCCGTGAGCTTCAGGGTGGTGCTTCAACTGCTCATTAAGAACATGTCTAGTAATCGTCATTAGGTCTGTCCTTTGTGCTTCGCCTGCGTGATCCATAACGCCACCAAATGTCCTACCCTAGCTGCACTATGACGTCACTATGACATTTAGCGACGTTTTTGAAAACGCCGTCATAGACATTTATACATTTTAAAAATTTAGCCGTTGGGGTGGGATATAGTGACGTTTTTTAAATGCCGCCATAGCCTTTTTTTTAATTTTTAAATTGTGCTAATTTTATATGGTTGAACAAAAAAAATACCAGTCAAACAATTATTAAGAACTAATAATTAATGTTTATTAAAATAATAAATAAACTAAGCTTGAAAACAAAATTAAAAATAAGAAACAATGCATTGCATACCTAAGAATAGAAACAATTCAGACTTTAAATACATCAATTAAAATCAAAATGATCAAGAAGTGTAATTTGCCCCAAAAAAATTATAAAGGAATAGAAAGCACACTAATATGTGAGATTTGAAGTCTGTATTGTTTCATATATGTTAAAAGTTTTATATCTCAAAATTCAGCAGTTTTATATCTCAAAATACAAGCATCAATTTTTGGTGACGACATTTAAATTTTGGAGAACACTTTGCAACTGTTTATTGCCTATTCAATTTCAAATGCGGTTGTAAAGTCCATTCCAGTTGAACATCGTCGTGTCATCAACGAATATCAGTGGACCATATCTGGGCGCACATGCATTGAAGAAATAAGTGATGACCAGCTAACTATCCACAACTTTGCACCTGCCTTTGTTCAGTTGACTGATCTTCAACGCTACGATCAGCCGCCACAAGACATAAGTAAGATTTGTCCATCTACTTAATACACAATGTGACACACAGGTATACCAATTCATACTGTACTGTTATTACTTGCAGATGTGTTATTTGCGGTCCTACAAGTTGCACCAACTCGCAAAATCAAAGTTAAAAGTGTCCACATTTCTTTTATATGGTTGTTTAATCATGTCTTAAATGAGCTTTTCCACCAGAACATACATAAACAAATAAAGAAGTGCTAACCTTTCTAGTGTCAACATATTCACAAATAAGAACAGAGAAGTGCTAACCTCTATTATAATAAAGATGATGCTCGCACTGAGTCTTTCTTGCAAGAGGCTGTTATCATAGATAAAAGAGTAAGCCCCAAACCAACTCATTCACAAATCATTACAGTATTCTATTCAAACTCTAACAAATCTTACTTGCAGCATTAAACATATAATATTGACATTGTGGGAGCAATTTGAGCCAAACAAGGGAACTGCAATTTCCAACATGCCAAGTCAATTTCCAATTGTGATTGGAATAAGATTAAAAGCAACAAACTATAATGGTAATTTAATGGACTATCACTTTAACCATCCTATTAATTATATTAACATGAAAAAATAACACACTTACGTATTGAACGGGACTAGCGCTCAACACAACATTTGACTGAAGGCTAAATTTTGAGATCTGGAAACTACTGTTTGGTCAACCTGCTGAATTTTGAGATATAGAACTTTTAACATATATGAAGTTCGAAAAAATTTGAACACAATCTATAAGTGGGATAGCTTTGATATGAAAAAGGCCAAAATAAGAACAGAGAATGGTAAAATAAAATTATATATGCCCATCGTATATAGGGACAAACAACAATGCATACAATTATACTCAAAATAAAGAATGAGAGCAAGGAGCTTTTACATCAAACTGAAATTTCAAAATAGTTAAATTTGCATTAAATTTGCAGTATAAGGCTTGACATCATTGTTCTTTTTCCATTAAATAAAAATGCTCTCAAATATGCCCTGCCTTAAGATGCACCTTAGTTCAACTGAGTAATGCATATGATAAAGATGCTCTCAAAGTTTGAAAACAGCATAGCACAAGCTGAATCATCAAAAATATTAATAGACATACCACAACAATATATATAAAAAGTTTACAATAATATTAAGTGGTGTCAAACAGAGATTTTTATTTTTATTGTTCACCATCCAGATAATACACAAAGTTTACAAAGCCGATCAATAATATATATAAAAAGTTTACAACAGATACAGAACCAGAAGCAATCCAGGGTTCCATTTGTCCATGCTTTGAAGGCACACATCATCATGAAATTAATTGGCAGAACAATCCTTTTAAGAACAAAAATAAGAGTGAAGAAATAAAATTGACGGCATTGAATAATTGATAGATGAATGAAGGTGAAGCCAACATGTTAACAACTAAATAAAATTGACGGCATTGAATAAAATTGACGGCATTGAATAATTGATAGATGAATGAAGGTGAAGCCAACCTGTGCTCTGAAGGATTCAAAACTGAATTTTACAAACTACCTGATTATGATGCAAGCAGTCTAGGGGAATATTAGAAATCAGCACTCTGGTCCTACTATAAAAGATATTCTATATCCATTTGTTCAATTTGAGTTGAGAAGCCAGGAAGGCATGGGTATGACGTTGAGGTATATTCATCAAAGAGAACCTCAAACCAATTAACATTGACAATATAGGTCCATCACTTAATTACAGCTACTGTTTAGTTCTAGGTAGGCATGAATCCGATATTGTACATCCATAACTGGATGAAATGAAGAAACCACCAAAGAATGCTCAAAACTATTAGTCCACAAATCAGATCATTCAAAATCTAATTTCAATCAACTTCTGCCATGCCTTAAACATTAAACTTCAGTACTGCTATTTTCCCCATATATTATATGACTTTTGGGGAGACAGAAGAAAAAATATCATTTTCTCAAATGTCAATCCTACTAATCAATTTACAAATCACTGGTCAGAATAGAGCACTATAGACCTAAATTTTAAATGAACCTCAAACAAACAAGAAGAAGGGAACATACAGTCTGAGGGTACATAATTGATAGTTTTTACCAAGAATGAATATCAACCTATGAAGTAAAATCATAGAATGGTTTATTTCATTCAAACAAGTGTCGAGAAGGAAAGATAAAATAAAATCAGTCAATCACTGTCACTAGCATTCAATATGAGCTATTGATGGCATTCAGTTAAAAGATTTTCTTTAGCAGTCACAATATTAATTCTTCAAATCTGTAGAGAGGGCCAAAAAAAATTCAGATTGAATATGATATGTAAACTAGAAGAAAGGAACATACAGTCTGTATTGGTTCTGCAAGCACCTCCCATGACTCATTCAAGTCTTCAAACAAAGAAGCTTCATTAACCTATGGCAAAATTAGTTCAACAAAAAAGTCAAATAATAAAAGGGAAGTAAACAATGGCAAGGGCAATGGAGAATGCTGCCTGATAAAAGTCAAATAGCAAATGCTAATTTCATCATATCAATAATATAATGCTCAAAACTATTAGTCCACAAATCAGATCATTCAAAATCTAATTTCAATCAACTTCTGCCATGCCTTAAACATTAAACTTCAGCACTGCTATTTTCCCCACATATTATATGACTTTTGCTGCCTGATAAAAGTCAAATAGCAAATGCTAATTTCATCATAGCAATAATATCAGAGTAATAATGTGTGACATAATATTTTCATAAGAAAACAACCTATAATAAGCAGATAATTACTACTACACCTTTACCGTTGACAAGATGAAAAGTAGTTAGTAATTATGCAGCAATGTTTTTCAATTTAACTTTTTACCTGCAGCTTTGATATTCCCTGTAATGCACTTCTGTACGCAAGAAGAGAATGTCCTAAACCTTCACCCATATTCCTCAGAACTGTTGAATCAGTTAAGTCACGCTGCACATACTGTACAAAAATAAATATTCACTTCCAAAACAGAAAGACAACTTTGTCTCATCCCACCACCTAAAAAAAGCATGTCAAAAATTTACGTGCTAAAAACTTAGCATTGTTGTGATCACTCTCGAGCTTTCCAACATTCACTTGCACTGCAACTAAAGCAGTAGCACAAAGGACGCCAACTTGTCTCAAATCAATAATGTGGTTTGGCCTGAAGCTTGCAATTATTCCATCCTAAGGTCTTCCTTAGAGTCTTTGCCTACAAAACCATTAAAAAAGAAAAAGAAGAAGAAGAAGAAGAAGAAGAAGAAGAAGAAGAAGAAGAAGAAGAAGAAGAAGAAGAAGAAAAAAAGAGAGTGAGAGAGATAGGTATCAAGTTTCTACAATGAGAGAAGGAAGGCATGGGTATGACGTTGAGGTATATTCATCAAAGAGAACCTCAAACCAATTAACATTGACAATACAGGTCCATCACTTAATTACAGCTACTGTTTAGTTCTAGGTAGGCATGAATCCGATATTGTACATCCATAACTGGTAATTATTGCCAATAAAATTGATGACACAGAGCGATAAATTTGTAGCTTCAGAATACAGGGGAAAAAGGTTACATAAAAAATAAATTTAAAAAAAAAGAAAAAAAAAAAGAAGAAAGAAAGATGGACTGCCAGACCTAAATTAATG